GTCTTAACAGCACTGAGCTGTACTGCTCTTGGTGAGAACGGTTACATGGGAGTGAGTGCCGCACGAAATTGTCGCGATACCTTCGCGCACACTCACACATATATACATGTTAGTGTATGTCAATAGAAACATGGGAATCTACATGATCTAACATAATTTCAAAAGATTTCGAACTTCCAAGTACAGTAAAACAAGTCGGATTGTCTGATTTAAAGGCAGAAACGCCAACTTTTTATTTGTAATAGGTAATTTTAAAGTCCTAAACGTAATTTTGTCACTCTTGATTTTCACTTTACTTTGATATGGTTTGTGATGAAGGGTTAAACACAGTTGTGCCCCTTGAACCTGAGCTTAGCGCAGAATAAGAGTAATTCACATGTTTTGGACAAATTGGATTCATCACAGTTCATCATAGCATGAATCATTGTATTTTCGAAACCTTCAACATAAAAGCTCCTATCTTTTTTCAATTTTTCCTTTGAGGAATGGACTCGTTTAGCTCCGAAGTTACCACGTCGGATGTTCGAATGTGAATGGTGTCCACTCGACATCGGTTCGTTGGAGCTCGTTCTTCTCATGGTTTTGGGTTTCGAATTCCCAAAACACTCGAGAAAGATAAGACACTGTAAAGAACCGGAAAGGACTTTATTTATTAAACGTTTCAAGAGAATATTTGGATAGAAGTCAGTCTGTTAAATAACAAATCAAGTTTACGGAGAATTGAAATGATTGTTTATTTAAAATCTATACAAGGGAAAAAAACCCAAAGGCTCAAAAACCCTTGTTATTAATCGGTGAAGAGAAAGAGCCTAAAGACATAAAAAACCCTTGGAAATGTGAATTGAAATAAGTTGGATGTGTGAGTGTGTCGCGTGTGGTAAGGATGATATCGTATATACGGAGATTGAGCGCGTGGATGATTGGGAAATCAGGTTCCGCGGAGTCTTCCGTTCAGGGAAGCGTCCGGACGTTCAGAACGTCAATTGTTATATGATTTTTGTGTATAACACGTATTAACTATGTATGACACGTGTTAACGAATAATCCAAATCGGTCACTCGCGAGAAAACTCCCGTACTTTTCTACGCAAGATGCACCACTTGTCTGCTACGTTTCAAGTGCCCTGCGAACTGTTAGGTTAGAACTAACGCGACACGTCCCGTCCCTCTAAACATTCCGATACTAATCGTTTCTACTAAGAACGTTTCAACGACGCAAATCGGATCTATTACTAACTAAAACATAAATAGATAACATACGTGAACAGTAAACGATTTAAAAAATGTTAATTTATCCGATGATAACATTTATTTTGTATTTGTACATTTAACTGTCTATAATCGATGCATACGCGGTATTTTTAGGTACTCTTTTTTATGTACTATTACACTGGCCTTGAGTTTTTGCTCTTACTTGGCTGTATGATTCTGTCGCGTAATCACTCATCAATCTGTTTGTCCAGGAGGTCTCTTTCCTTGACTGCCAATCTTCGCGGTCTCAAGCAGATAGACACTTCGTTCTTTTCCTGTGCGCTTCTGATTAAATTTTTCTTATACTTTCTATGAGTTTATCATGAATTTTAACCGTTAAATAGGGAAGGTATAGCGATAGGCCATAGCCCGAGACTGAGATTATCAGTGCTTGCATTAACAGTAAACCTAAGGAGCATTACATCCCAAACTTGAATTTATTTAGAAGATTTATTATGTTTAGTTTCCTTTTAATCTCTTCTATGTATTTTTCAAAATTCAAGTTTTTATCTATATGATTGCCTAAAAACTTTAGTACTATTTTGGCGTGAGGGTCGACGTGAAATGATAAGTCGGTTATGTTCGTCGCGAACTTGATAAATACTTTTATTAATCTTTCTTAACCATATGCATTTGCGAAAACTAGCCTCTCAAAAGTCCGGCCGGAAGAACGGAACTAACTCCTCCGCTCGTGGCGCCAGGCGGGCAGCTCCCGTACACGAGCGACTCGTCACGGAAATGTCCGAGGCCGACTCGCGAGAAATATGACTCGGGGTTCGCATACTCTCCGCGGGCGAGAGCGTAGGTGACCAACGCGCCACACTTCCATGGATTCTATCTCCTGATCTACAACCTTCACTTTCTTTTCCCTCCGAATTTGATGACTTGAGTTTTTTCTTTTACCAGAGATAAATTTCTGTCTTCCAGACAATGCCCTATCATCTCTATAGCCAATTTTAACCTGTTCTTGAGCATGGATTCTTCCTCATCAGTACTTGTCATTACGATATCATCGACATATTGGAAAATCCTGATTTGCCTTCCATATCTGTTTTTTACGTAGCCTAAATCTATAACGTATAAATTACATAAGAAAGGGCTAATTAAAGCTCCTTGTGGAACCCCTGTATTGTTGTTTATAGTCACATTTTCCCCATTTGGTATTCTATAGATGATCTTTCTATTTGTCCCGCAAGCATCCAGCAACAAATTTAATGATTCTTTTGTACATTCTAAACTGACCAATTTTTTAATCAGATTTGATCAGATTAATTATGATCTACGTTCTCGTATGTTCCTTTTAAGATTAAAAAGGCACCGTATATCATCTTATTCTTTACTAAATTCTATTGTACGTTTGCTATCAACGAATAAACATTATTGTATGTAAACCTGAACCTGAAACTACTTTGTAATTCATCAAACGTTTTATTAATTTCCGCCCAGATTTCTAACCTACTTTTTCTATTTTCTGAAATAGTTCTCCTAACAGGATATGAATGTTATAGGTCTAACTAATAACCAATCTCTATCTAGAGCTCTATGTTTCCCCCTTGCAATTAAAACGTTTTATGGGTCTGTTACAATCTCCGTGCATTCGTTCACCACAACTTTGATATCTTCTCATGCTGATTTGCAAAATTTTTGTATATGATCAAATTTCATACATTTGTAGCATTGCTTGATATTTCTTATGTAAGGTTTTACTATTGCAAACTATACCTCCGCCAAGTATTATCTTCATGGATAGAGAGTGGAGATCCTCGAAAGGCCAGAATAGTTTGTCCCACTATCCATCCTCCATTTTACCGTTTTTAACTGTGCACTTTTTCAACCTTTCAAAACGTATTTGTCCTTGTCCAATCTCTTCTATCAGTTCTTCTAATGGGCCATTCCAATCGGAGATCTTTCTTCCATTATTCTTGGAACGTATGGTTCAATATCTTCACGATATTTTATATTTTTGGATAATTTCATTCGTTGTTTTTCTATTCGATAATGATATCTCTGCTTTAAATTTGTTAGCCAGTTTAACAGTTATCAAATGTTCCTTAAACTCATTTAATTATCTGTAGAAATTGATGGCATTTTGCCCCATATTATTATTCAATCTGGAATTTCTTGCTACAAATTCCATTACATATTCCTTTGTATCTTCATTTTCAAATATTTTGATCTCTCTCTCGTCTGTCTTCTCTATACATGTCTGGCATGACTGTTTGTTCCCAATTTGTGCTGCGTTCTTTATATTTACTTTACTTTTGTCCATTATTTCATATCTACTAAATCTATCGGATTCCCTTCTACTACTACCTTTCTTAACCCCTTTTCATTCTCATACGATGTACCTTTTGCACTCACTTTCTCTCTTTTGCTTGCGGTTTCCATAATGGTTCCTCTT